GGCGGGACAGGGGAGGGGGCGGGTACAGCTGGCTCTGCCTCTAGATAGGCAGAGCCAGCTGTCACTCACGCAGCTGTGCGGATCCAGTCATCTAAGTCAGGATCCGCTCCAGGTGCGGCGTCTCAGTATACCTGTAGCTGTAGCTCGCGGTATACTGAGTTTAGGGTGACGGGAGGACGCTAGTTTGTGTCCTCCCGTTACCCCAAGGAGAACTATGGGGAAAAACTGACACCATAGTTCTCCTTTAAATGCAGAGGGAGGATTATGAAAAAGGGGAATTTTTCCATGAAATCTGCTCTTCCTGTTTGGAGTATTACTGACCTACCCAAAAAGTTTATATTCTTGCTATATTCTTTCCCTCAGGGCAAAGGTGCAGGACGAGGAAGGAAGCCTGCCAAGAAATGAGTGTATGAAGTGAGTATTAATATGAAGTAAAGCTGTGTAGAGGAGGGATGGTCAGCAGGCAGCCGGAATGAGGGTCTTGAATAGCTAATGCAAGGACTCTGCACTTGTTATTTTGGAGTATGTGTGATCACGTGCTGAGAAACTCAATAAGACTAAGGTCGCTTTTATTACAATGTGCACTGACGCTTGTTATGCCACACCAACATGCCTTCAATTAAGGCAGCCTATTGGGCTCCTGATCCACCAAGTATTGGGCGTGTCAGAATTTTTGCCGCAACACTCTTGCAGTGGCCTTCTAGCTGTGCTTTAACTACAATTCTCAAATTTCCTCTACCTCCTGGGTGTCATGCCTGTGGCTCAGTCTTGCAATGCCTCATGGGACCTATAATTTCACAACAGCTGGAGGGCTGGGTTGCCCACCCCTGCTCTATTGTGTTGCATGCATTGCTGTGGATTGTGCTAACTCTATTGCCACAACACATGATGTAAATTGGCCCTAACTGGTTTTGCAGTTGAACACCATTTTAGCATAGGGCTGTTGTAAAGCAGCCACGTCATATTGGTGTTTTTATGGGCTACATGAGGGCCCGTCACTCTGCAACTCATTGGTTTCTTTAAAAAAAAAGAATCCCTGTCCTGCAATGAATACTTGCATAATTGTTTTTGCAACCCTTTTTTCTTGGATTATGGCACTTTGAAATTGCAATTTGCCACTTAATTCCTTTCTGGAATAAAGTGCAGCTTTTGGACACTGCTACCCCTTGGAGATGTAGCCAAACATTGCTTCAATACCTTATGGGACATGTAGTTCTAAAACATCTGGAGGGCAAAAGTTTGGATACACCCAATTTTTAGATGACGGTGGACTGATTGAAACCAAGTTTAACATGCTTGCTGTGAAACTTCAGTGAGTAGAAGCCAGATTAGAAGGAATCCAGAAGAGTTGAATGTTAGTCAGTGTATGTAAGGTGGAGCATGGGGTCCAGTGACATTCGTGGTGTGAACTAAACGTGTCATCTCTTTACAGGTGCTACCAGTCTGTATTGTCTCCAGTTTGTATTTAATTGTCCAGATCCATACCCGTCCTATGCCTCACCGCCTGCTGCATACCATGGACTATCCAAGCAGATGTCTTTCCAGAGAATAAATCCTCTAGTATCTCTGTATTTGGTCCAGTGTCTTTTTGGAAACTCATTCTGTATCTTGTAAAATAAAAACTTTCTATAGAAAGGATGCCGTTTGTACTTCTTGCTTTTAACATTTCTAGCAATTGCTCATCTGCATTGTACAAATGGTGTCATAAATGATCTATAGTAGGGTTGCACAGATACCAAGTACATGTACCGATACTTTTGAGCTCCTAGACTAGAAATACTTTTGAGCTCCTAGACTAGAAAAAAATTAAGAGGCAGCTGTCATTTGTAAGGAGCACACGGAGCTCCTGGGATTTGTACATCTGTTTTAATGTACGATTATGTTTTTATAACTAACTCTAAATAAAGGGATGCACAGATACCAGTTGTACGAGTATTGGTACTTGCCAAGTACTTACAAGTACGAGTACTGATACATTTTTGTTATGTGACAGTTTTTCTAAAAAAAATACAGACTAATGATTTCAGGACAGTGGTGGAGCGACAGAGCCTGGTCCCAGCTGCAAGCGCTGCAACCCTGGGAGTTCTCATGAAAATGCCAAGTATCTGTGCATCCCTAATCTATAGCCAAGTACACTTATTGCTTTGTGCCCAAACTCTAGCTGTAGTCCATACTTGCTCTAGTTTGGTAGCCAGTTGGGAGGCGTCTAAAGAACTCTACAAAACTGGCTTCTGGCCAATTTAAACTAAAATTCAAGTTTAAATCTCTTAAAATGGATGCTGCTCCTTGATATTAAAGTTTGTTTCCTGCAGAATCGGCTGGTCCTGATATCCTGTTTTTAGGGCTGGTTCACACCACAAAGGCTGCGTTCCAGTGCGTTCAGCCTCGAACGCAAGCCGGCTGGCTCCCTGCATTCAGGGGCAGGAGGGGGCATTATGGTGCATTGAAGTCAATGGAACTGCAGGCACCCCACCTGCAGAAGTCCCAAAGAAATTGGGCCAGCACCACTGTCGGAATACAAAGCTTGCAATAGCACTCATCTATCCACACTTCTAGCATGGATGGGGGTATCTGTTATATTTTGTTCAGTCTGCAGATAGGAAAAGTATACTCACCTGATCCTCAGTCCCTGTCTGCTAGGGCGGTCCTTGCAGCCTCTTCTCCCCTGGGCCGTGGAGTCAACCGTGACTAATGCAGCTGCATTAGATGTGAGGGCACCAAGGGACATACCACCGCCAGAGTAGAGGGGGAGAGATGAGCACTGATCACCACAGGACTGGGGATCAGGTTAGTATGTTTTCTTTCTTTTAGCCCCTAGACCAAATCCTTGTTTTGGTCTGAGCGGGGTTCAGGGGTGCCTGGGGCTACCCAAGTTTGAGGGTAGCCCCACTGCAAGGTTTAATTTCTAGATTACCTGAAGTCCTTAAAGTTCTTGGGTTTAGATGCACTTTATACTGGACATCATGGTCATGCATTTGTCAAGGTGTGTTGGGAAGCCATTTAGATTGGCGCTGCCATCTGTACAATGCAGCATTATGCTTGATCACAACACATAGGTGTAAAATGGGCTGTTGGAGGTAAATTCATTGGGGGTCCACAGTTCAAATCCCGGTCAGGATACTGTTTGCATGTTTCCTCTGGGTACTCTGGTTTCCTCCCACACTCCAAAAACATGCTGGAAGATTAATTGGCTCCTGTATAAAAGGGCCCTCTATGTGAGATGGGGAACGTAGATAGGGTTGCCACCTTCTCTTACATGGAAACCCGAACACTCTCTAGCGACGCACATTTTTGGGAGACTGGGTTGCGGCTTTTTCATATGTAAATAGCGCCAACCATTCATATGTATATCAGTCGATACTATTTTCAGTGGTGTGGCAGTAGCCCCTATTTTAATTTTGGTTGCCCCTGTCTGCCTGTCCTCTTGTGTCCAGGTTGCAGCTGCCATGAAACCCAGACACAGCATTCAAAACCCAGACTGTCCGGGTGAATCCCGGAAAGGTGGCAACCCTAACGTAGATTGTAAGCTACTTGAGGGCAGGGACTGATGTGCAGTATTTAAAGCGTTGCGTAATTCGTCAGCTCTATATTAATGGCTGACCTTTAACTTGAGGATACAGATTTGTTACCGCTGCACTCCTTTTCAGGGTCTACAACCTGTAGCAGATGTGGTGCTCTTAGTGATGAATGTGGAGTATGCCGTGTATATAGTCAAGCTTAAAGTAGATCAGTACTTGCAAGACAAATCTTTGTCTACATTTGTATAGTGTTGCATATATCAGCCAATGTTTTGGGGCCACGCAGGGTTACTTCATCAGGGTGACGTAGTGACAAAGTCCAATGACCTTCACTTCACTCATCCAGCCTGTAATATTACAGAGCAGGGTGGACACAAGGATCCTTGTACTCCACCATTGTCAATCTTCTCATGCACCAAGTTATGAGGAGGCATCATTAGACAAGTTTTATTTTGGACTCAAATTTTGATGTGACCTTGCCATGAGTCCTGCACCCAGTTCCATATTGATCCTCACACACTTTTTATATGGCCCAGTCTGCATCTATATGCATTGCTTTTTGCATTTGTCATCTTTGAAGACCGGCTTTCCTGTGACTGAATATTTCTATATGGGAAAACATGCCGCAAAATGTCTCTAAAATTCTAAGACCTGGAACAGTTGGGAAAGAAATGTTCATATGCGTTTTTAATGCAGCACTGTAGGATAAAGGTATCGGCTTTAACAAGTGGTGTAATCTATTTATACTCTTCATCCCGGCTCAGGCCTGTAATGGGATCTCTCAACTGGGAATACAGCTGCGCTGTAAAGCCGGCTCCTATGAACTCGCACTTGCCCAAGATGAAGATGACATTGTACAAATTTGTCCCTATTGGGGTCCTGAAAACATCAAAATCAAGGAAGCCTCCAACCAGAGGTTCCAGTTTATAACCGGGGTGGGCAATTATTTTTCTCAAGGGGCCAAACCGATTACCACCCAGCAGGGCTGTAGATCATTTTCCTGGGGGGGGGTTCAGCTTCCTCAAATTATTATCTAGCGGACACACCAAGATTTGAAAAAAATATACCGGCCATATCATTCCTAAACCAATCCTTTAACCTGAGCAATACTGATTTTGCTGTTTGACACCATATGGATAAAAACCACGTTTTAAAAAGACTTCTGATTGGTACTAATTCTCACAAACCGTTTACTATACAGTTATTGGGATTTTTTTAATCAAAAACATTTAGCAGAAAAAATGTTGGCCTTTCTTTTGAAAGAAATTTGATATTTTATATAAAGTAGAATCATTTTTCCCCCCACAATTTTTGGTCTTTCATTTATATAAAAAAATAAAATGTAAAACAACCCAGCGGCAATAAAATGGCACCAAAGGACAGCTCTATTTGTGTAAAAATTAAGCGCCTGGGGGCAAGCCTTCCAGTGGCGCCCCCCTACAAATCAATCCATAGTTCAATGCTCTAGACCAGGGGTGCCCATTAGGTCGATCGCGATCTAACAGTTGATCGGAAATCGATCACTGGTAGATTGCAATGTCCTGTCCTGCTGTGGGGCTTCTCCTCTGGATCCCCACTGCTCTCCCCATCTGTATGCAGCGGGGATCCCAGGAGAAGTGAAGGAAGCGATGCAGCAGGGGGTCGGAGGAGGGAGCCGCTCGGCCTGGATCTGAAAGCCGGCGGCTCTCTCTCTCCTCACCGCACATGCTGCTGTGACAGCGGCTCCCTCCACCACTCCCTTCCCCCTGCGGCTGAAGTGTTTCCTTCACTTCTCCTCAGATACCCTGCTGACTCTGCCCGGGAGAGCAGCGGGGATCCAGAGAAGAAGCTGAACGCCCCCGTGTGCGTGGCGGAGGATCGGTACATATCAGTGATATGTACCAATCC